TACCCGTTGGTATTTAGCAGCAACCAACTCTGGGAAGCAAAATGTATATAGAAAAAAAAAAGTTTTAAAAATGCACATATTTAATGCAAACAGGAATTGAACCATCAAATTACAAAAGATGGCTTTAACTACTGAGTCAACATACATCTTTCATATACAGTCTTTTAAAAGCCAACCTGGTTTAAGATTTAAGGAAATAAGCAGCCTGGTGGTGAATGAGTGGGAAATACATTTTTCAGTATTTTTGACTAAAGCTCTTCTCTTACAAGGATAAAAACTTTGTACTTCAGTGCGAGCAGTGAGCTACTTGAGGTTGGCAGAGAGAGGGGTGTACTCAGATACCATGAGGGAGTCCTAGCTGAAAGCCTAACCATTTTCCATATAGTAAAGCTTCTCTTTCACTAGGAAGCCTATAGGGATCCCATCCTAATCTGAGAATGGGCTAATGGACAGAAGGCAAGAAGAGAGTAGGGGCATTAAAACGGGTTTGGTTAACAGCACTTAGAAATCTTGCATCCCTTCCTCCCCTTCCTCAAGCCAGGGCTCTCCTTTCCACGTCTCTGAGGGGGAACACTTGAGGGCGGGGATCAAGGTGGCTCTCCCGACAGGCCCCCTCCCTAAGTTTTCCCTCTGGTGAGCCCACATCCGTTCTGAACCGACCTAAGAGCTGGTCCAGGGCGGGGAGCCCGGTTGATACCAGCAGTTGTCCATTCCGCAACGACGGTCGCGTGCCCGCAATAGACACCAATCGAGGGCCGCTGCTCTCAGTCCCACCGGCTTTAGGACCCCTCCTCTGGAAACTGGTGATGTTGCTCTTTTGGGCTGCCTCTGCCACACACTTGGTACTCGCCGCGCCCGAGCCGCAGGTTGCCTCTGCCGCCATCCCCTGTTGATTTTTTATTTGAGACAGGGTCTCTATAAGTTGCTGAGGCTGGCCTCCAACTTGTGATCCTCCGGCCTCAGCCTCCCGAGCCACTGGGACCACAGGCTTGCACTATTGTGCCTAGCCATGTGTATACGTCTTAATGTCGACTCCAGATGGTCTTTTAAATATTTAGAGAGGACAGCACAGAAACCGTGGGTAAGGTAGGACGTCGCAGACCAGGTTGACTTTTCATGCACTGGTTAAGGGGGCAGAAGACAGAGAGTGGCCCCTGACCACAAACCGCCAGGGGTGTGAGGCCAGAAGACCACCCCTCTCCCAGGCATTGTGGTGCAAGCCTGTCTGCAAAGGCACAACCTGAGTGCTTCCGACTGTATGCACGAAACATATTCCACTTCTAGAGATGGGCAGAGCCGCACAGCAGGGTTTGAGGTCACAGGCCACAGTGACATTTATAGTTGGAGGAAGGATCCTTGTCTCCCTGAGTCCTGGGACCTGGTCTGTGTCGGGGTCCCAGAAGTCCCCCCTTCAGGGTCACCTGGCTCCTCTCAGGGACATGACTTCCCGCCTGCATGTCCCCTGCAGGTCACAGGTGGTGTGTGAGGATGGTGGGGGAGGCTGTGCCCGGAGGCCAGGCAGGGCTGCAGGTCCAAGGTTTCTTGGGAAGGAAGCTGTGGGGTCAGCACCGGGGGCCATTGATAGACTCGTGTCCCATCACGTGGGTCTGTCTGTCCCCTTCTTAAACATTGACGGAGAATAAATGAAGTAGGCACAGTTGGCATTCTCCGTTATCAAGTTATGATTTTTCCCTTTATGGAGAATAAATATCCTGGGACAGACACATTAGGTTTCTGCAACCCAAAGTTTCTCCTCAAACATTCACACATGTATCTAAGCATCCGTCAGTGAGTTTGGCTTGCAAGAATTATTATGGCGCTGTTTGCTTACCATAGATTTTCTCTGTTCCTCATTCATTCTGTATTTATTATGTGGAATTCTTTCCCAAGGTCATCCTCCTCCCTCTTCCCTGGTTGTGTATTCAAAAGTTTTAGCAATGGAGACCCAGAAACATTTATTTTAATGCTTTGTGTATGTTATTTTGCTGAACAAATTGTTTCTGCTCTGGAGATTGGAATCTTTTCCTCGTTGGGTCCTGGTGTCCTGTTCTCATACTTTTATCCATTTTCTAGCACTTGCTTAAATTAAACAAAAAAATTGTCATCATAACATGTTCCAGGTCACTATGAAGTAGAGTGTCAGCCAAATTTTTTTAAAAAAAGAATGATCATAATAGACCAGGGATAAGTTTATTTTGATAAAAAAATATGATATTTCAAGATCTGAGCTTCAAACTTGTATGCAACTAACAACGTGGGTTTTGAACACGTAAAGCAAAAATGGACGGGAGATTGCGGTGGACATCTGTGGGTTCCCATCAGTTTGGCATTCACACCTCCCTGCCCACATATTTTATGAAGGGAGCTACCTTTCTAAGAGATGATCTGAGTCAGTCTATCTAGAACAGTTCCCTTCAACCTGTATGCTTGTCCCGTTTGGGGGTCATTTCCAGAACGAGTGCAAAGTGTGCCCAGTTGAGAGACAGCCATGGAAGACAACCCCGAATGCTGAGTCTTCAGTGGGTGTGATGGGAATTGGAGCTTTGTTCCGGGTTTGGGAGCAGCTCCTGGGCATCTTCTGGCTGGACAGTGTTGTCCTGGGCTAATGGTCCTCTGCGGACCCGTGTCTTTATCAGGGATGTCCTCTCACGGGTGTTCGATGAGGTCGTTGAAGTCAATCTGATGGACAGCGAAGACTACATCCACCTGGCCTTTCTGAGGAGACCTGAGCTGGGGGTCACCCTCACCAAGCTCCACTGCTGGACCCTCACTCGCTACAGCAAGTGCGTCTTCTTGGATGCCGACACCCTGGTGAGTGCAGGGAGTGGTGAGGACCAACTTCTCGGCTCCATGAGGAGGCCAGAGATAAGATGTACCATTCCAAGGTCTACTCCCCGCCAACTAGGTCCCACCTCCTACAGCCTAGACCACCTCCCAATAACATGTTCCAGGTCACTATGAAGTAGAGTGTCAGCCCAATTGTAGATTCCGGATTGGACCGCTATCTTCGAAATTGCAAATGGTGGCATCCCCCCGGATGTCATTTGGGGGTGGGGGGGGGTAGTACCTTAGAACTACCACGGGATGGGCATTTTCAAAATGGCCTCTGGGGATCTGGAACGCAAGACGGAGTTGGTCTACGGCGAGTCGGTTTTGGTTAAGCAAAAGCACCTCTTTGGGAAGAGGTAGTGAAGAACCCTGTCTTCCAAAACAGGGTCGCCCCCTGCCAAGTGGCGTGATTTAGAAACCAGTACGTGTTAGAGGGAGTTGCAATTAGGGGTCAAGTTCTCAAGGGCACAGTGAGTTGCTGAGCTGGGATGTCGGGGAGCCTAAAGGTACTAAGTGCATTTTGGACTCGCTCTGAGTTTCGTGGAACGGAAACAAATCCTAAGTGGCTTTTGAATGGGCTCCAGGACCTAGGAGGCAAGCTAAGAGTTTTTCAAGATAAAAGAAAGTTCTAGAATCCCCCAAGAATGGGTGCTGGCTCAAGATGGCGTATCCCAGAGGCTGGCACCGAGGCTTGGGGAGACCATTTCCACTCTGCGACGAAATCCACCCAGTATCTGCTTGATAGGGATGCTCTCCATGTCCCTTCCTGGGATCCCAGTTCCATTTTGCACACTTGAATTTTTCGATTGTCCAATGGAGGCGACAGATGTGTGGCTTTGCCTCGCCAGGTTCTGCACAACATCGACGAGCTGTTTGACAGGGAAGAACTCTCCGCAGCCCCGGATCCGGGATGGCCCGACTGCTTCAATAGCGGGGTGTTTGTCTTCCAGCCTTCCCTGGAGACCCACCAGCTCCTGCTGCAGCATGCCACGGAGCACGGCAGCTTTGACGGTGAGTGAGGGCAGGACCCGTGGCCGGGATCCAGTTTTATACCCAGCTCAACGTGTCTCTCGCATCCACGAGCTGGAGCCTGGAGACAAAGGTGCACGTTGAGAAGTCAGCCCGTCAGGGTGATGGGGAGACATCAAGAAGGTATTATGTCAATATGCAGCAGCCAGGAGAACCTTTGGAAAACTCCCTCCCAGGTAGAGAGCACCTTGGCAGTGCCGATCGTATACAACAGGTGCTCAAACCTTCCTCGGAATAACCGATATTGTCAGCTTTGCAGGGTGCACGGTCTTTGTTGCAAACACTGTATTCTGCACGTGTAACTTGGAGGTGGACGTTGGAAGAAAAACAGTGAATGTGGCCGACTTTCAATAAGACCAGTTTGGAAGGAGGGGGCTCAGGGTGATCCCTGAGAGGGAATTAAGGGGGAAAATGGTCATCCTCAGATTTTTTTTTCATCACTGTGATCAAAAGACCTGACAAGAACAATGATAGGGGAGGAAAAGTTGATCTGGGGCTGCTCATGGTGTCCGAGGTCCAGTCCCTGGTTGGCCGACTCCATGGCTCTGGCCCAAGGGGAGCAGAACAAGATGGCGGCAGGGCCTGGAGGAGGAGAGCAGCTCAGGACAGGGCACCAGGGAGCAGAGAGAGCTCTGCTCACCAGGGACAGGACAGAGACCCCAAAGGCACAGCCCAGGGCCCCCTCCTCCAGCCTCACCCCAGCTGCTGCAGTCACCACCCAGTGAGTCCATCCAAGTGGATTAATCCACTATTAGTCTACACCTCTCACAACCCAATCCTCTGAATGTTCCTGCATCGTCTCATACATGAGCATTTAGAGAAGGAAGAGTCTCTCTGGGGCTCATGGTGTCCAAGGTTCAGTCCCTGGTGGCCGACTCCATGGCTCTGGCCCAAGGGGAGCAGAACAAGATGGCGGCAGGGCCTGGAGGAGGAGAGCAGCTCAGGACAGGGCCCCAGGGAGCAGAGAGAGCTCTGCTCACCAGGGACAGGACAGAGACCCCCAAGGCACAGCCCAGGGACCCCTCCTCCAGCCACACCCATCTGCTGCAGTTACCACCCAGTGAGTCCATCCAAGTGGATTAATCCACTATGAGTCTATACCTCTCCTAACCCAGTCATGTCACAATATGGCGGCAGGGCCTGGAGGAGGAGAGCAGCTCAGGACAGGGCACCAGGGAGCAGAGAGAGCTCTGCCCACCAGGGACAGGACAGAGACCCCAAAGGCACAGCCCAGGGACCCCCTCCTCCAGCCACCCCCCCACCTGCTGCAGTCACCACCCAGGGAGTCCATTCAAGTGGATTAATCCACTATTAGGTTACACCTCTTCTAATCATTTCACCTCTGAACCTTCTTGTGTTATCTCACACATGAGCTTTTGGGACACACCTCATATGTATACCATGTCATTGTCCCCCAGGTCCCCCCAAAATCTCATACAAAATCCATGTAGCCCCTTTCCAAGAGTCTGCGCGGTCCTAACCTAACAATGGGGAAGCCATTGTAACTACCAGATGGGATTCACTGGGGGTGAGTGGAGGACGCTGGAGGTTGTATATGGTTTTATTATTGATTTGGGGGGGCAGTGGATGCAGATCTTGTAGGGAACACACCCTGATTTTTAGTAATGGTATGGGTCGCCGATCACCGCCAAGAAGAGCGGGAACACGGCAGAGAGGACCTCTCAAGGCCAGCGTAGACCTTGGGTCCTTCACAGAAGGCGGACCTGAGATCTGCACCCAACTCTGCTGACCTCTGTTTGTGTTGGCGGGTGGCCCAGGCGCAGATCAAGGCTTGCTGAACAGTTTCTTCAGGGACTGGCCGACGGCGGACATCCATAAGCACTTGCCGTTCATCTACAACCTGACCAGCAACGCAGCCTACACCTACAGTCCAGCCTTCCAACAGTAAGCCCTCCGCCATCTTGAACCCCAACTGGCCGTAGCCACTGGGTTGTTTTTATCTCCCAGATGAGATATCAGCTGTTCGTAGAGGAGAGGGAAATAGATCACCCTGTCCCTTTATGCCAGGCAAGTGCCGTACTTCTGAGCTATACCCCCACGCTTTTTAAAAAAGTTTTGAGACAGGACCTCAGTAAGTTGATGAGGCTGGCCTCCGACGTGCGATCCTCCTGCCTCAGCCTCCTGAGTCACTCATCTTCCAGGTCTGTGCACCACGGCACCCGGAAACATTTTTGTTTTGAATACAGGGATTTCCTTTTTGGTTAAAAAAAAATAATTATGCAATTTATGTATAGTGGGTTGCTTTTAAGGAATAGATGATGGTATTCCTTAATTTTTCAGCCTTAGATTCTATGATGGTAGAAAAGTAGAGAAGATGAATTCCATGGGGTTGTACCTCTTTGGGTCTTCAGTGATTTTTTTATTTTCTTCCCTGGGGTCCTGGGACCAAAAATTCGGAGCTCTGCTGCCAGAGGAGACGTTAAAATGAAAATCAAAATGTGATAATAATCCAGGAGATGAATAACTCCAGAGTTTGCATCACGCAGCAGGGGTCCTGCTGCCCCCAGGGAGGCAGAAATTGGTTCTGGGGACAGCAAATAGTCTTTTTTTTTTTTTTTTTTTTGTTGTTGTTAATATATTTTTTTAAAAAATAATGTGTGAATCTCAGATAGACCATGTGCCTTTGGTGTTAAAATTTCATGGGGAGTTAATTAAAACCAAAAATGTCCAAAAAGCACTTGGGGAGTGATAATGAACGGCATCGGAAAAAAAGGTTCAGAAGGGGAGATTTCAGAATCTTTGATCCTTTTTATTTTTAGAGGTGTTTGTTTTGCAGCCTGTATTATCTGCCACAAAAGCTCTTTTTATTTTCTTGTCCCCATCCTTTTTCTAAAAACTGCACATGTGGATTTTTTAAATGATCTTTAGGGAGCCAGGCGCCGTGGCGCACACACCTGGGAACCCAGGGGCTCCGGAGGCTGAGGCAGGAGGATCGCGAGTTCAAAGCCAGCCTCAACCAAAGCAAGGCCCTAAGCAACTCAGGGAAGGAAAATCGGAATCTGTCCTTTCTCCTCCCCAGGTTCGGCTCCAGCGCGAAGGTGGTGCACTTTCTGGGGTCCACTAAGCCCTGGAACTGCACGTACGACCCGCAGACTGGCTCCGTCTCGGAGCAGGGCGCGGGGTCCGGCCCCCGGCAGCACGTGACCTTCCTGAATCTCTGGTGGAGGCTGTTCCAGGAGGGCGCGCGGCCTCTGTACCCAACGGCCCGTGCGCAGGAGAGGCAGGGACCAGCGGGGCTCCGCGTGAGTGCACGTTCCTCTGCTAGTTCGGCTGAGGACCAGCCTGTCCCCGCCAAGACCCACAGCTCCCCTGGCTTCTCCCCATTATGTCTAAGCACGCGGATGCTCCTTATCCGCGGATGCTCCTTATCCGCGAATGCTCCGTATCCGCGGATGCTCCTTATCCGCGGATGCTCCTTATCCGCGGATGCTCCGTATCCGCGGATGCTCCATATCCGCGGGTGCTCCGTATCCGCGGTTCCCTTCCAACCGCGGATGCAAAATGCTTCTTCAAATAGCTGCGTCTGCACGGAACCAGTGCACAGGCCCATTTCCCCCCTCGTTCTTACTCCCCCAAACAATCGGACAGGTATTTACACCCCCTCCCCAGCCCCATTTTGCATTTCATTTAGAGACAGGGTCTCCCTGAGTTGAGGAGGGCCTCGCTTTGGCGGAGGCTGGCTTTGAACTCGCCATCCTCCTGCCTCAGCCTCCCGAGCCATTGGGATCACAAGGCGTGGGCCACCGCATGTGGCTGGAGGTCAACTTTAATTTTTGCTTGAAAAAAAAAAAAGAAATCACTGGTTCCGGATGCTACTTCTCGGGAACCTTTGAAGGCTTTCGATAGGAGCAAACAGGAAGGAGTTGATTGGTTCTCGGGCCACCTTGTGGAGGCTGCCACACAGAACACTTGTGGGTTATTTACAGGTTCTTGGGAATCCCGTTGCACAAATCCTTGCATTTGATGGGCAGCTCTTGCACACCCACGGGGCAGGATGACCGGGGGGACCAGAGCAGAGTGGACTAGTGAAAATGTGTCCTTTGGTGTGTGTGCGCGTGTGTGCAGGTTTGCTCAGATGGTCTCGAGGTGCCGTGTGCAAATTCAGCCCCCAGTGCTGCAGAGCCGTGTGCAAACTCAGCTGCCCCTTCTGAGGTGCCGTGTGCAAATTCTGCACCAGGATCGGGCGCCCTGCGGTCTGCTCTGGAGAACACGTCCACCACCACGGTGGCTGAGACCCCGACGTGCCCTGAAGGAGGTGAAGATGTGAGTACCGGCCTCCCACACTCTACCCAGAGGCGCCCACGCCCTGACCCGCACAACCTTGTTCGACAAAGGGGGTTTTGCAGATGGGTTGGAGTCAAGGATGTTGGGGGTGCAGAGAGGGTTGTGGATTATCCCAGGGGACCCGCATCATCGTCAGGGTCCTTATAGGAGGGAAAATGTAGAATCTGCCAATTCCCAGAACCAACTGCTGACTCCATCTTGGGAGCTGCCCACCCCCCTCCCCCAGCCTTCCACCTGCTCCGATTTCAGAAAAGCCCCAGAGACCCGGCTCAGGAGGGAGCCCCTGCTGACCATGGGCTCAGGTCCTGCTGAACTCATCATGAATTAAAAAATAATACAAGTAGAAAATTCATTGCTTACGTTCAACCTACCAATCCTGGCAATTTGGGAGGCTGAGGCGGGAGGATCGCAGCATGTTGGAGGCCAGCCTCAGCCACTTAGTGAGATCCTGTCTTAAAATTTTTTTAAAAAAGTAAAAAGGGTTGGGGGTGTTCAGCTTAGTGGTGGAGAATTCCTGGGCTCCATCACCAGTACTCTCCCTCCCCGCATGAAAAAATAGTGAATTTGAACTCGTATCGAAAACGGGTCCCTTTCCCACTCCTTTAGACGCCAAATTATGAGTCAGTCTGTTTATCATTGCTATCATAAACTACCTGAGACCGAGGGATGGATAAAGGAGAGAGGTCCAGACAGGTCAGGATTTTGGAGGCTCTTCAGTGGGTCCCATGATCCCATGTGCCACCTCTCAATGTCACCGCACCGGGGACCAAACTTCTAGAGTGTGAACACTTGAGGGACACGCTAGAATCGGAGAGAAACCAGAGAGAAATCTATGGTCCAAATAGGAATGAGGAGAAAAGTGCTGGGTGTAAATCCATTTCTCACTTTTCAACTTCCTGTCCCCCTCAGCCGCCCTGGCCTCTGTGAATGGTGGTTGGGCAGATGGACTCTGGCCTTGGCCCATTTGACGTTGCTATAACAAAATGCTGTGGAGCGGGGAAACTGATAAAGAAAAGAGGTTTCTCCAGCTCATGGCAGAGATGTCCCATGGGGAGACAGAGAAATCTGTTCTCCTGAAGCCACTTTGGGGGGGTGGTCCTACCCTCATCAGTTCACGTAGCCCCGTGACCTCTCCAAACTCTACCTCCAACACCATTAACCCATGGCTCTGGGGGTTACGTCTGTCTGTCAAGCATGAACTTTTGGGGAACACTTTCACAGAACAGCGCCTGTGTATTTTATGAGGAGCCTATTTCCCCCCCAAAATGACGGTCGTTGCAGTTGTAAAAGGGAGGGGTTCCCTACAACACCCCGTGTATTTCCTGAATGAATTTTTTTTTTTTTTTTGTGAATGAATTTTTTTTTCTGAATGAATTTTTGCAGCCCTGCTGCCCCCTTATGGCCATTTATTGAATTGCAGATTCTGGAATCTTGATTTTTTTGAGGAGCCAAAACCAGACCCACCCCTCAAAATATATATTATTATTATTATTATTATTATTATTATTATTAATTTTTGGTGAGGTTGAGATGGTATGTTTTTTTTTAAAAAAAGTCCTCATAACTGCAGAAAAGCTGAGTGTAAATTCTAGCAGTCTTTTGATAAAGAGCTACCTTTGAGTGTTTCATGATAGCCATTATCGAACCCCCGGACATTTTTATATAAAATAATTAGCATGGTGATTTTTTTCTCCTAAAAAGAGAAACTTCCAGAATTTTGGCTGGGGTTTCGTTCGATCTATAAACCAGTTTTAGGATTATTAACTTCTCCAAGGAGCTGAGCCTTCCAACTCTAGGAACTTGGTCCATTTCTATACTTATATCTTTAATTTCTCTCAACACTGTTTATTTCTTTGCAGTGGACTTTTGTGTTTCGTTAGGCTTGTTAATTTTTGAGACTCAGTAAATAGCATTGCTTAATTTATTTTTCTGATATTGGCATGTAGAAATGCATGTGACTTTTGAATCCAGGCGGTGTGCTGAAGTTTTTCATGCGACGACACAAGATTCTCTTTGGTTTTCCTGCAAACAAAATGACAATATCTGCAGGTGGGAAATTTGTAATTTCTTCGAACATTAAACATGCACCTACTGCATCATGCAGCCGTTCCACTCCCAAGTTTGCTCAAGAGAAATGAAAGCTTATATTTTATTTTTATCTATGTTTTATTTTTATTTTTATATTTGATTTGGAGGCTGGCTTCAAATATCCATAAAGATGATAGCACTTTTATATATCGTAGCTTTGCAATGGAACAAGTGTCCATCAAGAGGTGAATATGTGAACCAATCGAGGCGAATTCCTAGAGTGGAATACTATGCAGCCCTAAAGCAAGCAGATGTGGATAAGTCACAACAAAAACTGGCTGCAGTGTCATTACCACACGGACATTCTGCGGCTGTTTCCCGATTTCAGAGTCTATTTCTCGCATTGCTAATGGTTTTGTGTCTGAACCATCATTTTTCTGCGTTCCCGCAGGTCTGATACTTGTTGTTTGGTTTGGTTTTTCTCTTGGTTTTCACTCATTTGGTCTTGTCTTCTCACCGGATGGTTAATTTTTGGAAATGGAAGGCCAGACATGGTTTATGGGGAAAATTTTTTTTTTTTTGCAAAAATAATTTGAAATTCTGAATCAGACTATCCTTGCCCAGGAGAGGATTCTTTTGGTATCCCTCTTCCAACTTTCACACATTTCTGGACCGAGAGCAAAATTTTGGTTTCGTTGGATTTCGTTTCTGGGCTTCTCTGCTCCGTCCGCCTGTCCTTCCTTAGAGCTACCCACGGGTCTCAGTAAATGCTCATCTTGGGTCTCTCTCTTCATCTTGTGTAAAGAGGGACGTGTTTCCTAGTTATTGGTAAGAATAAGGGGGATATTGATTTGACAATTTTTTTTAGGTTTGTGTTTTATTTAGTATTGTTTTTAATAAACCTGTGGGGTCAGGCGCGATGGCACACACCTCTAATCCCAGTGTCTCAGGATGCTGAGGCAGGAGGATCCCAAGGCTGAGGCCAGCCTCAAAATCAAATATTAAAAAAAAATAAAATATAAGTAAAAATTAATAATATAAAAGGGCTGGGGATGTGGTTCAGTGGTTAAGCACCTCTGGGTTCAATCTACCCAACCTTGAGCCCACAGAGCCACATCCCCAGCCCTTTCTTTTATCTTTGAGACAGAGTCTCACTAATTTGCTTAAGTTGCTGAGGCTGGCCTCCAACTTGCCATCCTCCTGCCTCAGCCTCCAGAGCCCGCTGGGATGACAGGTGTGTGCCCCCACACCTGGCCCCTTTTTTATTTTGCATTTTTTTTTTAAATTTTGAGACAGGGTCTGGCTGAGTTGCTTAGGGCCTCGCTAAATTGCTGAGGCTGGCCTCCAATTCGCCATCCTCCTGCCTCAGCCTCCTGAGTACCTGGGATGACAGGCGGGCATCATTGTCCCCCCGCCCCAAGTTGAAAGCGGGCTTCTGATTTGAGTCGCATCCAAGTTTTGGGTGGCACAGGTTTCCTGGGCTCCAGGAAGCTGTTCAGGGACCCGGGGTCCTGCTCTGTCCTTGCAGCTGTGACAATGTGAGAGCATCATTGTGCACAGAGCAGCTACGGCAGAGAACTTTGCCTGGCACCCGCCGGACTCGGTCTCCATAGCTCTTCCTTTCCCGGGGCAACCGACCGAGTGGGCACAGGCTGGGGGGGACATCTTGCCCAGTCTCAGTGGTCAGATGGAGACGCACCACCCTGTCCAGGCTCCCGGAGGCTGCACCCCGACATCAGGTGGGATCCCACGGGAGAGAACAGAGAAGTATCCACGTTGGACACCACTGAGCCTGTCACCCTCAGCACCCGAGGCCAGGTGCCACCGGCACCCTGGAGCCAGGGACCTTGCCCACCTGTTGGTAAAGCTGTGTCCATGCCAAGGTCCGGGTCTCACCTGTCGGCTCTTCCTTCATAACAGACAGGAGGCCACCCTGACACCCTGACTCCGGCCGGGATCCCGTGTGCGCCTCGGCCACCGCTGGCCCTGCCATTTCCAGACGTCGCTGAGACCCAACCCACCTGGGTACACTGTCCCCTTCTGTCCTACGGGCTCCTGTCTGTCGCTTGTCCTTTCTCTCAGAAGATCTGCATCAGCCGAGCAGACCCCTGGGTTTTCCCATTTCACCCTGAATCACCTCAGGGCTTTAGCAAGGAACAGAAAAGAGCCACGTGGTAGTGCACGCCTGCGGCTCTGGAGGCTGAGGCAGGAGGCTTGCCAGACGGAGGCCAGCCTCAGCTACTTAGCAAGAACCGAAGCAGCTGAATGAGACCTTGTCTTTAAATTTTAAAAAATCCAAGAAAAAAAGAAAAGAAAACCAATAAAACCAAAAAAAAAAAAAGAAAGAAAGAAAACCAATATGTGCCCAAATTTGCAAATTCAGCTTTATCAGAACTATGCATAAGTTGGGGGAAAAACCATACACAGGGTTCCATACTGTGCAAGACTTCTGGCATCCACCGGGGGTCTTGGGACATAGCCCCTGTGAAAAAAGAGGAGCCAACTCTAATTGAAAATTTTTAATTTTTAACTTTAATTGAAATTTTTTCTTTTTCTTTTTCTTTTTCTTTTTTTGCTACTAGGTTATTGAACTCACAGGTGCTGAACCACTGAGCCACATCCCAGCCCTTCTAAAATATTTTGAGACGGGGGTCTGGCTAATTTGCTTAAGCCCCCTCTAAGTTGCCGAGGCTGGCCTCCAACTTGCAATCCTCCTTCCTCAGCCTCCTGAGCCGCCCATTATTTATTTATTTATTTATTTTAAGCATGGGTACTCCCCTCCCCCCAAAGGCTATCCGAGTAGGGCGTCTTCATTTTTATCTCATTTCCTCCGTCCTTTGGGCGAAGATGAGCATTCCCTGCATCCTCTTGAAGACTAACGATGGAATGGTTGTGTTTCTAGCAGGCAGCGAATCAAGTCAAAGGTGGCCCCGCTGAGGAATCCTTGGATTCGAGTCCGGAGGTCCCTGGGGAGCCCTGCAGAGACCCCAGTGCTCAGGAAACTCTGGAGGTGACACCTGCATCCCTTTGCCTTGCCCATCACTCCTGATGGATGCTCTCAGCCAGCTCTGCAGCCAGCTCCATGCACAAGTCTATCCTTCATCCAAATTTCCAGCCTCAGCTTGTCCAACTCGGGCTCTGTCTGCCTCTGATCCACTTGTCTTCTCTCTGCCATTTGCTGGGGGCTGGTTGGTGTCCTCATTCCTGTCTTTGGCTCGGATCTTGCCTGTTCTGTCCTCAAAAGCTTTTCATCAGAAGTTGATCTGAAGAAAGTTTGGGGGTAGATTCAAGATGGCGGGCTGCATGCCAAATTGTCCAGTGAAGGAAGGTTTGGGGGGGGGGGAATGCATAGCTGCAAATCAAACACACTATTTCTTCCGTGTCTGAGAAATGGGACACTCGTTCTTCTCTTCCTTCCTCTTATGATCGTTCGCGTCCTGCATTTCATTCTCTCGGGTGCGTTGAATGAAAGCCATCAGCAACTTCTTTCTTTGTAAAAATGAACGACCAGATCATGCCTTTTCTCTTTAGGCAACAGTAGATCCGTTCAAGGTCATAATCCCCTTCCATGACGCCCCTCCAGCATTGGGAACTGGGCCTGGGTTGAATGTATTTACCCACCCGATTTGGAATATCGCCTCATCTGTCATGTATCCGTCAGCTTTCTGTGACTAGAAGGAATGCCTTGAGATAATCGGCTTAAAAAGACGAAAGGTTTTTGGATGATACTTGGAGAGCTTTCAGTTCAAGCTCAGGTGCTTTGGGGATTGTGTGAGGTGGAGGAAGCTGGTCCCCTTCTGGTGGCCAGAAAGCAGAGAGGAGAGGCCTCTGAGATTCCAGGCCACTCCCCCCAATGACCTCACTTCCTCCTCCTAAGCCCCACCTTTTAAAGGTCCCACCTCCTTCCAATAGCACCAAACCCGGAATTAAGCTATCTACCCATCCATCCATCCATCCATCTATCACATCTATTATCTGTTATCATCCAACCCCCATCAGACCACCCACCTGTCATACGCATCCATCCGCGTATCCACACGGCCACGTATCTGTCTATCCTGCTATCTGTGAATCTATCCAGCAATTCCTACGTGTCTAAGTGGCCATCAGTTAATCTGTGGATCCATTGGTCTTTCTATCCTTCTGTGTGTGTAGATAGATACACCCAGGGCACAACTCCAATAGCTTAGGTGTCTGGTGCCCAGCACCAAGTCTACCCAACCCAACCCACATCTGGGAACAATGTGTCAAATTACTATAGCTTTCTATCCACCATGTAAATCTACCTACCATCCATTGGTTTCTATGTGTTTCATCTGTCCATCTGTCTTTCTCCTTATCTCTATCTAGCTGTCCTTCACCCATCCACCCATGCATCCACTCATCCAGCTATTCATTCATTGATCTGTCCACCTGTCCATCCATCCATCCATGCATCTACACAACCAACCAACCAACCACCCATCCATCAATGCACCCATCCATTCACCTATCTACCTACCCACCCACCCATCCACTCATCCATCTATCCATTCACTAATCTCTCCACACTCATCTATCTGTCCACCCATCCATCTATCCATCCATACACCCAGCCATCCACTCATCCATCTATTATTCATTGATCTTTCAACACTTATCTGTCCACCTGTCCATCCATCCACTCATCTATCCATGCATCCATACAACTAACCAAACAACCAACCAACCATCCATCAGTGCACCAATCCATCCATCTATCCACACACCCACCCATCCACCCACTCATCCACCCATCCATCTACCCATCCACCCA